GATGGTAAAGTCGTAGGGAGAAAAATCTTTCCGCTGGTATCGGCAGCCAGTATTAATATAATTTACACAGTTAACTATCGGATAGGGAACTAAAGGAACACAGCTTTACTCTTCCTTGTTAATTAAGATTGAAACTTTTTATCTGAATCGAGTTCGTAGTTCATTTTCACACTGAAAGAGTTGAAGACTTTCAAGCGTGTGTAAAGCAAACTTACGTAATAACTTTTATTTAAGTTTAATTAAGGTACTAATTCAAATGGAAGACGAACCAACAGCCAGCCAGGTTAGTTTGTTTTATATGCAGCTGCGGAGATAAAATGTTGAAATTACATGAACGCAGACTTGTTTGCTGGTTCATTATAGGTTTTTAAATATCTCTCAATTCAAACGGTTTTTACAAATACATATACATTAAAATTGACTAGTACCTATGACGTGTTGACTACATCATCAAATAATAATTATGTGATGTGGATATAATCGCTAGAGGCAATAAACAAAATACAATGTTTTTTTAGAGGTAATGTTGAATGGCAGGCATTCTAAAATAAAATATTAGTATCCTAGAGACGTGTGTTACTGCTTGTATCAAAATATCTAATCTGTCTACATTTATCGTGTACGAACGGTAGCATCGTCCTCGATGTGGCTGGCAAAATGTTTGCATTTTACGCAGCGTCGAGCCCCTCCAGCGATCAGACGACAGCCCGAGGCAATTTGACGACAAACTCTCTTATTTTCGTCAATTTTTAGCTTGCAAGTTAAACGGGAATAATAAAAAAATAAGCCAGTAAATAACGAAAATGAAACGCAAACCTCAGAAAATGCTTACAATGAATGAACTATGAGCTCACTTCTAAAATTCAATATTTTCACTTAGGGATTTATGAATAGTGTTTGCCTAAATGCAGCAAATAAAATACAGCTGAATATTTTACTAGTAGGTACTAGGTACATGTACATAGATGCAATAAAGATTTATTGACAATTTAAATGAAATGGTAGACGAGTTCTACAATAACAGTCGACATGATCTCTGAAAATATTTTAGAACTTTAGGTTTCGATACAGGCCTCTGCTTGGTGGGTACATAACTCTGAGATGAACATTCCACACGACGCACTAGACAAGCGCTAGACAGGTTCTCATCGAGTATTTTCCATTGGGGATGCGAGACCCTTACTACAATGGGGTGCTAAGGCTGAAGAATGCCCTGGATTCTCTAGGTGTTTAAAGTTATTGCGTTCCACGACGCTCATTATAGCAACGCGAGCGGTTCGCCAGGCCATTGCACGGCTTCACTGCCAACCAAATAATACAAAAAACACTCTTGAGATTGTTCGCGATTCCGTACCACGTTAACCTATTCCATTTTCCTCCGTTATCATTTTCACAGTTTATCATTACAATTTAAACGTTTCAGAGAAAATTATTTTGATCGCTATGAATTTTACGTAATAATATTTGCAGTAGCGGAGTTCGAGAGATTACGTTAAATACCAATATTAAAATAAATAAAAGCTTGTAAAAGAAATACTTGTTATAATAATTTATTCGCGAATTTCAATATGAATGTTTTAATGTTCAGTAGTATATTATTTTTCTATATAAATATTGAAATTGCTGGATACATGATAAGCAATTTTGGAACCATAAAAACACGACAATGTCAACATTCATGTAAATACGTGTTTACATAAATAGAATTAATGTTTATTATTTTTATACCATGTATGATGAACGAAATATAGTTAAATGTTTGTGAGAATTATTGAAATATTAATTTTACGTTTTATTATGAGAAGGTGTTTTTACATATTTTTATAAGAACAATACGAATACGTTAAATAGACTGGTACCTATAAGTAAAGATAGCAAGTATCTAGGTATGTATAAAACTTGACTGCTTACGTGAGCGCTTATAATATTTTTGATATTTAAATTTTAATCTTAGGTACTAAAGTAACGATGTTTGGATGTTTGTTACTCAATCACGCCAAAACGACTGGACGGATCTGGATGAAATTTGGCACAGGCATAGGATACACTCCGGAATAGGACATAGGCTTTTTACCAACATACAACGTGGGCGAAGCCGCGGGCGGGAGCTAGTTTAATATAAACCACCGACCATCCTTTTTACGGTTGTAATGTTAACTAGTTCATGATATAGTAACTGATAATTTGACCCATAAGCCATAAAATGCATAGAAATGTGTCTTATACATTTCTATGCATTTTATGGAGCCGTAGTCAAGGGAACACATGTGAAATAAAAGGTAGGTTTTGGTATGATATGGTAGTGAGTGTGATGTCTACTAAATACGATATCTAAGGATCGATCAACATTTTCACAAAAAAGCCAGCCTCAATTCAATAATTCCGGCCATTAAAGAATGTAGGTCGAAGTTCTTTAATCCCGTAGGTATTTAGATGGAGAATATTACAACTATTCGATGTTTTCATTGTGAATTTAAGTGAATACAGTGAGAAAGTAGTTTTGGTAACTAAAATGTATCCGAGGTGAATAATTAGAGATAGTTACGTAATTTTAGTATCGGCTACACCCAAATAGTTTGGGAGTCTGGCTGAGTTCATTAATCATTAAGGTAGTGACTAGTGATGGATATCAACAATAAACTGTTAGAGGGAAACTGACCACGCGCAGTCAGTCGGTCAATCAGTCTTGCATGACGCATATATTTTAAAAGTAAACGCTAACTATGTACTTAAAATTAAATTTATTTTTTTAAGGGGTAGTTCGGCAAACAATCGGCAAACACCAGCGGCGCCCATGGACACCCGCAACACCAAAGGCGTTACGAGCGCGTTACCGGCCTTTAATATAAATTAAAAGCAATAAACACTTTCACTGATATTTTTATTTTAATACAAATGATACGGGTTGATTTTCTTGTACCAAGTGTTCTATCGTTCGTATCTTCCTTGCAATACAAGCTGGGCGCCGTACTTTAGAAACATGATACTGTTTGAGCTAGACGGGCTATTGTTTGAGAAAGGGTAAACAGATAACCTCCTTACAATTGTAATGAATACTTTTTTATCCTTGACTCGTGGGTAGAGTTTACTTAAACTTCACTTTACTTTTTACACCTAATGCTTTTAATTTAGAAGGCTGCAAATACGTAGTTTGGCAAAGGGTATTTATTAATTTGTAGTGAAGAATTAAAACTTTAATAATTCAAGAACGAAAGTTTGTCATGTCGCTAATGAATGAAATCCGAATCACAAATAGGTTTGCAGGTAGGAGGGGCAGTTTGTATTAGTTCAATACAATACACGTGGGTAGATGTCCTTCCTGCAAACTATCAATGTAAACGGGGATGTTCCAGATTTTTTCGTTGAGATTTTTTTGTGAAAACTTTTCGTGCAGTTCCAGTTTTAGTTTTTATACTGATTCCCAGGGCAAATAAGAACTTGATGGCTGATATGAGTTTCATTTAGAATTTTTTTTTACGTACATATAATATTAGCAAATGTGGCAACAACAATTCCGAGATGGACGGGCCACGGGGAAAAGGTATAACCCAAGTAGAATCTGCAAATGACCTCGTCGGATGAAAGCACGTCTTCATCTCCTCGCCGGATCGTGATATTACCACTTAAAATGGTCTAAGAACTTAGTGCAAACACCAAACTTTCTTGATGGCGGCAACGCACGGCTGCAGCCAGAATAAGTAATCAGATCAAATGTATACCTGTGACAAGTTAATGCCTTCATCTCCAAGGAACCTAGTTTAAATTGCATTAGCAGGTACATGTCCGACGTGCTAAGTGAGTTGTGCTCGGGTGTTACTCACTGCCGTTACTGTCAAGGACCCATAACATCTTCCTCGTATAACAAATTGAATAATGGATTTGAATTAAATTTTATTTTGTGTAGATCCGCCAAAAGATTTGTCATTACGAATTGATACGAAATCTTCTGTTAAATTACTATTGACTTTATTTAATATGTTTTTGTATAAAGGCTTGAAAGCAAATGATCATCAATCACACGATTGGTTCGTTAAAACGAATGAAGTAAATACGAAACGCCATTTCGAATAAACATGGAAAATCTGCGACCGACGTCGAAGTCATTCAATTAAACTGCACAGTCGATAATAATGGGGAAGGGAAAATTACAATGTGAATGAGTGGACTTTTGCACCCTCTATTTGCAAGATTCTTACAACATTTTTCCGTTTTAAAATGATTTATTAATAAATCAATTACGGCAATAATTCGATTGGATGCTTTAAATACAATTACCGGTAGATGATCTCTAGATTAAATGACACCAGTTTTTGCTTTGAGAATATTATCGTGGGAGAAGACAATCCTAGTAAGGAATGGTAATATTATGTGTATTACAAGCAGCCTGCAATGTGTAGCAAATTCCGATGTCGGGTAAACCGCGCAATAGAATTAATGCGACCCAGCTAGAATGCTTCCAGCTTTTTCAATCGATTCTTGTTATACATTTCATTAACTGAAGACCGCCTGTCTTTGTAGCAATAAGGATCCAAAGTATTTGTTTCACGATTAAAGCTAGAAGTACAATACTACTGAACTGAATGAAACATTTTAAATTTATCGATTTTATATTTGTATCTCAATGTACAAGTAATACGGAACCTACATTTTTTGAGTGACAGCGGTTTACGAAGTCATTATCACAGTGAGATTTTAATGTTTTGAGTGACACTCAACTTTACAAGCGTATCGATCCCTGTATTGTGGGTTGGGCAACTTAATCGCGCCAGACTGGCATCAATAAAGTTAACTACGGTAGAAGCTGTCTACTGGGCCTATACAATGACGCCGATTTATTTAAAGTTACATAAGCTTACGATCTAAAATGTGCGTCCTAAACGAGTATATAAAGAGACAACGTAAAAACTCTTTTTATGAAAACGAAATGTTTTTATTTCATCAATTAAATTAAATGTTTTTTTTTTATAGTAGATGAAGGTTAAGGTTAAGTAGGTACTCACTCTTCAGGTAGGCTTGGAGCCCCGTCCTCTTGTCCCGGCGCATTCACGTGGTATACACAGAAGTTTTCCAAGAGTGCCCTCATGTCCACAAAGTTGAAGAACGGTTGGAAGCAAACGTCTGTGGACACAAAAAATAAATTAGTCTTTAAATCAAAGCCACAATTGTCTTTAATTTAATTGAGTTTCTAATTTGTATAATGAAAAACAATGCATTATATTTGCTTGTCGGTACGTTTAGTCTTAAATAGGCGTGCAGTAAATATCAAAATTGCATGGAATAATCCTACGTTTGACAGAAGATTACATTTTGAAATAAAATCTATAATAATGTTTGTTTTTCATTAGTAAGTAGTAGTATTAGTTGTTATCTATCAAAGATTAATTAATGGGCGATATGTGTAAGTGTTGCGCTTAATTTTGATATTCATTAAAATAACAAGTTACTCTAATGAGTTACAACAAATTGAATTCGCTCAAAGATAATAAGTAGGTACTTTGATAGTTTGGAGTGAAGCTTATTGTTACGAAATCGCAATGCAGTATTCGCGAACTCGCCTTGTTAACAGTGGTACGTATGTTCGCGATGCAGGTCGCAAGCAGGCTTTTAGCGGCATTTTCGAGTGGCATACTTCTATCACAATATGGCACAAATGCCATTGTTTCCCATGGCACTATCGGCATGCTTCACATGCGAGTGGGCGACGGCAGATAAACGCAGGATACTCAGTCGAATCGAATAAAGGACTCAATACCTACCATTGTTTTATACACACCCTTTGTCAATAAGTTTTGAGAACCTCATTATTTACTTTGTAAGCTATAGTTTAAGCAATAAATTAAGTTTGGGATGAAGGTATTGCAAAGGTACCTCTTATCGTTGCACAATTAGAATTGCCAGCGAAGCAAAGGAGGATTAAGAGGAGACGTCATAATATTATTGTGGTCAGACAGCCAGAGGGAGAGAATGCACAAAGTTATTCTGTGCCGTTGTAAAATGGTTGATTATTTTATCTGAATCAGAACATTTGGTACTGCTTTGTGCCTTATGTTTTCAGTAACGCACGGAAATTAATATAATTGTAAGCATAACATTTATAGTTTTTACTTTAAAACTTTCTTTAATAAAGAAAACACGTTGATTTTCGCCAACTCTTTTTGTGCCGCGCATGTTTATGAGTAGAAAGTTATAGTGTAAAAATAAAGTGAAGTGTTTTAAAGTAAGCGACTTTACCTATGTGACGCAGTAGGATTTTTATTTAGGAATCTAATTATTGGTTACATTTTGGTAAATAGCAACGCTAAGTTCGATAGATGACGTGGTTTCCATATTCCCATTAGAAAATTGAACACATTATAAATATAGAAATGATCATATACGGTAGAAAATAGGTCCGGTACAGTCTTGTTTATTATTCGTAATACTTTTTGTATAACTATAGAGGCCAGTGAAATGAACAAAAAACTACCCTATCGTTTGAAGGCATAGATATTGTTCACAGGCTAAATTAGAATTTTTTCAATGCACTTCGTTTTATTACATGGCTGCTACTGTTTTACTCTATAGGTATTGAAAATAGAAAAGTGCGGTCCACAATTTCAAATATTTCTGTCAACACTACATTTAATTAACGTGTTTTTTATAGGTTTGCTTTTAATTTAAAAAAGTAGTCATTTTATTGATTGTTATTGGCTTAGCCTTTGTAATAACTTAACGAACTTTATTTTGTACTGGCTATACTAGGATTTTACAAACAGCAGCGATTAATGCTTAATAATAGCTCGATTAAAATACGCAAATCACGTATACATTATAGTATCTATCAGTGAAAGAATTTAAGAAATGTGACCAGCGGTTCCAAGCGTTACCCTTACAAACAAAATCTACTTACCTTATAAATAATAATAGGTCTTTACCTATGAAATTGCCGTTTTGCATGAAAAAATTTAAACGATTTTTTTGATTTGAAATGCAATAAAAATGTAACACTAATCCCATGTTTTTAAAACAAAATTAATTAGCCTTAGCCTAACAAAAACTATTTTGATTTGAAATGGCCAAACTAAAATTTTTACATCTTCAAAATGACTACTAAAATAAAAATTGGTTGACGTTCTTTTTTTGACGATTAGATAGTACACAGTGCATAGTACAATCGTCAGAGAGTTGGATGAAAGGTGTGTTTCAGCAGAAAAAATGGGCCTCGAATTTTTTTTTGTTATTAAATGACAAAAAATGTCTATTGTATTATATCAACACACCGAGCCGGCTCAATGTTTACATTCGTTATTCAGAGAACCGGATAATTAAGAACAGCCGGAGGCAGAGGTTAAGTTTAAAAAATAAGAACTACATTTTTCTACAAGAAAAGTTATTTCGAACCCAGAGTAGATTTCGAGGGTCATTTATTTAAACGGGTACACATGTCGTTACTTACAGAACCTAACTTAGCTGCGGGGACCCCTTGAAGCTGCTTGTTACTTTCAATGTATGGTTGCCCTACTTAAATAACGGCTACTGGACATTTTCTTTTATTTACTTTTTATTATGTCTAGGTACTTATTCCTTTGTCCTAAGTCCTGTTTTCTTAGAAAAGAAATCTTTTTTTAAGTTAAAATTATAGTTATTTGAAAAACTGTTACGTACTTACATTTTCTAAAATCTCCCTACTTGTCGTTTCATGAGTTTGTAATAACTGTACGAACAGCTAAAACTGGCGACGTTACGTCTGCGACCTACTTGCGGCAAGCATTGCAAAAATATAAGTTTAAAGCAGTTAGTTAATGATTAAGTACGTAAAACGGGTGTTATATTTAATTGCGCAAATAATGGATACGTGATTATAAATATTAAAACTTCTACATAATGTAGAAGTTTTAAAGTTTAAAGGACTTAGCAATATGTTAACTACAAAATAATTAGTATTGATGAATATTTTGAGACTATATAGGTAAATACTATAGAATATACAGATCATATTTATTTTTAACCCAGATAGTGAAGTGGTTCAGATATTAATATTATTTATTGTATTTATAGATACTAGATAAATAAACACTGATCAAAAGTTCCCAATTAAACTGTACACTATTAGTATTTATAAACATAACAAACAAAAACATTAAAATGTATATTATTTACTATCTGCCAGTGGTAGAAGTAGCCTATGTAGTATTACAGACTGTAATCTATTTGTATGTTATAATTCATTCAGATCTGTTAAGTAGGTAACGGACGTTAACAATACGCGAAAGAGTAAACATCTACAATATTGTCTTATCTACAAACTTTCTCGTTTATTATATCGTAGAATTACAAAAAGTTACGTGTACCTTTGTGTATTGAGGTAAACCTGATTATTTCGGTGAAAGATGTGTAGACAAGTAATTTTCGTTGGTCGACATGTACATATAAGGAAAGTACGATGGAACATAAGGTAAAATGTAAATCACTACAAATCAATAGGCGTACGGGTGAAATTGAAAACACGTCAAAGACCAAGAATAGGCCCGCCCGATTTGTAAGACAGTTTACGACTCCTTCGTTTCCGTTTCCACGACACCCTTTTATTAAGCAGCATTGAGTATGGGTTCTTACGATGGTAGATACGAAAGTCGTACAATGTGTCAGTGTATTTGTTCAATGTATCGTTTAATTAAATGTGTTAACTGCTCTCATTTGTTTATAGGTTAACTAACTAAGTATGACATTTTGGATTTCCCGGTTACTTACGTTGGGGGTTTTGGGATAAAAACGGCAGCGATAAGTTCAGCCAAGAAGCACCATGTTGATTTTAAAGCTAAAATAAAATGTCAGCGACATATAGTCAGGAAATTCGACCGGCATAGGATTTTTTCGGATCTTTTATATTACTTTATAGATTCTTAAAACAAAATAAATCGTCATATTCTTGTATTTTGTTTAAAAACACTTCGACGTAATACATCATAGTATCAGCCTTGCCGAGTGCCTACTGCTGAGCAAAGACTCACGTAAGGTTTGCTTATGGCGAATTGGCGATTTTAAACTTTATTACGCGTATTTTAATAACGTATATAAAATGCATGGTTGAGAAGCGGGTGCTTTGACCACCGGGCCACGTCGAAAATAGAGAGAAACTTTATTAGAATAATTATGTTTCAGCAGTGTTTTTTCATACATTTCTTGGCGTGGCAGCGATACAGAAATGCAATATAATTACGTAAAGGGATACTTGTAGTATGTACTTAGTCGCAGTGAGTTCGGGCGGCCACGGACGCATATACATTATGGGCTGTTTATGTTAACGCGTTTAATTAACTGTCTGCAGATTGAATAATTACCTCTATGGAGTTTACAGATAATTAAAATGTTAACATTTCCTGTCCAATTAAAAGTTAGCTGTAACTCTTGTTATTTTCTGAAACAATATGTTCAATGGGTACTCTGAACATACTCCTCAAGAAGTCCTACTCCTATTATGTCATATGCATGGTTTGCCATTTACTATCTACAACTAACAATAAAAAAATAAGTTTATGTCAAACTTAATGTACATGTTTCGTATTCCAGAGGAGGTATACAAAACCTTATTACTGTAAGTAGTTAATAGAGCGATTGTAGGAATGCTATAGTACAGACCGCACGTCCGCTTCAGTATTAGACAAATATTTGTATGGCACGGACAGAATGATATGTGCTACTATGGTGTAATAAATAATATCTATGTATGCATTTTACTACTGTCGTTAAGTTTAGTCACACATTGTATAATATAACAAAAGGCAAAATATACGAAAAAACAATAAAAAACCTTTTTTATACTGTGGAATGGATGCTTGACGCTCGGTCCAATTTTAATTACGTCAACGGTAGTGTAGGTCGTGGACTTGCCGAGTGTAAAATTGTGCCAAGTTCCACACGGAAACCTTCATCATTAAAAATGTTACTGTTCTTAATTTTAAACCTTTTGTGAATTCTTTGCATGGGAGAGTGCTACTCCGAATTGAGTATTACGGCCTGTCTATCAGATTAATTAAATGAAGCGCGAGTTGCCTTTAGCCGAGGGGATTGAAATGTAATAAAATATCGTAAATATTTGATTTCTTCGGTCTACCGGAAAACCGGGATTTAAACATGGT